TCCCGATCTACCTTCGTCTTTTCCTCATAGCGTTCCGGCGTCTCATCTATCGGCGACAGGCATAAAGGAAAGCGACGATAAGTTTTAACGTCGCCACCACCCTCTGGATATCTTTTTCGGACGATCTACCCCGTCAGTCCCGTCTGTCCCCCTCTATCGCCGGAGGGACTATCAGTCTTTCTATTTTCACGAGTCTCCCGGCGAATTAGAGTTCTCCATTTACGACGAATTGATCCACGCCACTTTTGGCGTTTGCGGCGAACTACCCATTAGCCGTCCAATCGACATCAATCTCTCGTCTTATTAATACATTAATTTTTATGACCGCCTATTCGGAAATCGCGAAAATAGTGTCGCTTCTATCTACTCTAAAGTTAGTATAACAGAATTTTTACGGACGATAGCTAATTTTAATGTCAAATCCCGACTGACTCTTTTAAATCCTGAATTTAAATTGTATTTGCTCCCTTTTTTTGTTCCCTTTTCAACACCTTTGTAGCAACAGTATGTATAACGTAATTCAACTGCGAAAAAGCTCTTTAAAGTAATACGTAAACGTTGTTTGCAAAAGTGTTTTCAGTTTCTCTTGCATTCGCCGATTGTTTGCATGAGAGTTCACATCGGTAATAATTATATTATATAAAATGAAATAATAATAGTTTCTACAGAACTCTCCGTATATATGTAAATGTAAACGCAGTGCCGGTAGTCGGAGAAGTTCATAGAAATTCGTGCAAAAGCGTTTGATCTCTAAATACAAACAAACGTCCGTTTTATAAAGAAAACGTTCCAAAGATAAAAATTATTCGTTTTTAATTAAATCTCCCTTTTTGACACAATTTTTATTGTGCCAAAAATTACATTGACACTTTTAATAATTTTATCGTCTCTTTTGCAAAAATTTGAAAGACGCGGAGAGAATGGACTCCTAAGCTACCTCGCATCGGCGGCACGTAGCTGTGGCACACTACAATCGTTATTGCATGCATGGGTTAAAGCAGTTTCAACCAAATGAACTTGCATTCAACTTTCGGATATTATTTCCTAACTTCCATTCCGCTTCTAAACCGCGGTTCAACGGCCGAGCGCCTCCTTGCCTGCCGAGCGGAAGGGAAACGTCTGATTAAATTGGCACTGGTACGTGTGGTTCGATACGCATTTCGTCAATACACTTAAGGCGCTAAGCTTCGTGGAAATTGGTTCATATTTAGACCGGCATGTTTCGTCCAAGTTTAATGCTTTGAGTCGCAAATACAGACCGGAAGATAGGCGCGAGACATGAGGCAGAGCGCGTGTCCTGTAAAATTTTTATTAGAAACAGATCGCTCGTGTTGGTACAGATACACATACGTCAAGAGAATAAGATTTAAAAACTTTATACTTCGGAATAAAAAACGACGAAAGAGAGGAAAGAAGAGACGGACCCAATAAAATTTTCGTCAGAGAAAGAGAGAGAGAGAGAGAGAGAGAGAGAGCCTCGAAAAAATTCAAAGGGTTACGCGATAATCCGTGTATTGAATCTACGACCTATAAAAGTGATCATTGATACTGATTTTGCAAAATCCACCGCGATACCGTATTCGTGCGACGTTACGGGGATCTAAAAATGGGAATATCGCGCACAGTCACGAAGCAGCCTCGGCTTCGAAGGGAACACGACGGCAGTAGAAGGACGGTAAGGAGGCAAAAGAGGATGAGACTTGTACTCGTGGGAATCCGAAATCACGTCCTTAATTTCCATAAAAGAGTGCAAGGACTACACGCCCGCCCCTCGCACCCTCCAACCTCGCACTCCATCCTTCAATCGAGAATGTCACGTGGCTGGCGCTCCTCTCACGCCGTTCTCCACCATCCTTATTCGTTCCGTTCTATTTTCCCTGTCAAAGGAGCTTTGAGCTTGGTAAGCATATCTCTCAGCATCCTCTTACCACCCGCTGCACGCGACGAGCCAGCTACTCAGCACATTCTCGAGGAATTCGCCGTTCCTTAAATTCGTTCGCGTTCGTTTAGGCTGCCACACGCAAGTGCGCTCTACGGTATTACAATAAGAACGTGTTTGGAGAAAAAAATCATCGCGAATGCCGCACGGAAATTCTCGAGTACGCCGATTCGAATGCAAATTAAGCGATTCGAAAATTTCACACGGCGTCCGTTCGCTCATATTATTCACTGCCACGTTTCGCGTAATTATATATTTCAGATTTAATAGAACTTTGCGCCACGGTAAGTCACCCGTGACGAGTTACACGGCGGGAATGAATTTCCGCATATAGACAATCATTTAAGCAACGTTAATTACTCGCATTCGCCGAAGATCAAGCGATAGATTATTGGCTGCACATCGAGTCAAATTACATACTAAGTGACCTCATTAAACCGTATGTTGCTCGCGGCCGCGCGTGCGCAACGGTCCTTCCCGTCTTCTCTGCGATCGTGATTAAATTGCAATAACGCCACGGACGCGACGCGTGACGTTAACGGTGAAGAATATTGCGCCTTGACGGGCAATCAGTTTCTCCTGCGTATAAATTATTCCGCAAATTGATAAAATAGGATCCACTTACCTTCGTCTCGCACGCGCGCGCGCGCAAGAGAGAGAGAGAGAGAGAGAGAGAGAGAGAGAGAGAGGAGGAGGG